TCAAGTCTCTTCTTCATCTGTTAGAAGATTGGCCTGTATTTATTACCACATATGAAGATTGATATTATATAACAGTTCAGCACTCTTTTCTTTGTTTCTAATGACCTCTTGTTTCTGAATACTCTTCTTAGCTTTTGGAAGGCATCTTCCGATATTTTAATGCGCCTTGGGATTTCGGTGTTGCATTTGCTTGATTTTGGTATCTCCAATTTGTAGTTCGTAACTTGGGCTGCTCCCTTTTGCTAACAACCATGGATTCTGTCTTCTTACAATTAATATTTAGTCCTTTCTTCTCACTTTCCTTTACTAACTTATGCAAAAGTTACTGGTGTTTCATTTCTGTATTTGATCTCAACACTGTGTCATCTGCATATCTTATGATGCTAAGATTGTGGCCGCTAATAATAAATCCTGGTAGAACTTGTAATTCTCCCAGAATCACCTTACTGTAAAAGTTGAATAAGTCCGGTGAGAAGACACATCCTTGTCTTACGACCCTTTCCCTTTTTGTGTATTTACTGAATACATATTCTATCCACATGCAGGCGGTTTTCTGTCAGTATAAGTTCTGTATTATTCTGATATCTTTCCCAAATGAATCAAGCTCACCTAATAGTTCAAGCAATTCTTTGTGACGTACTTTATCGAACGTTTTCGTGTAGTCTATAAAACATGGATATACATTCTTTTGGATTTGTAAGGCTCTTTGGGATATCATTTCGTGCATAAATATCGCATTCCTTGTTCCAGTGTCTTTAGCACTGTTCTTGTTCTATTTACGGTTTAATTCTGCTACGTGCTCTATTCATCAGAATTCGGATCATACGTTTTGTCACGTGGCTCATTGTCCGGTGTTGCAGATGATGAATACATGTTCTGAATATCTTCCTGGAATGTATTATCCGTTTTCGGTTAATTTAATGAATATACAACGTTAAAAAGTAACGCTGCAGGCACATTGTCGCTAGTCTATGAAAGAAGCGGTTTTATTTACATTATTTATATCGTTCGGACTGTTGTCCTCATCTCCATTGCCATATTCACGACGTTTCAGTCGTTGTACACTCCGACCGTCTTTATGTGATATACGTTGGAATATCGAACCGAACCCTTTATTTAGTCTTTGGGGGTAGATTGTTCTAATTCCACTTGCCACACTGTTTTTGTATATTTCAGTATCAGTTAATGACTCTACTCTCTAAGTTTCTTCTCCCTCTGCTGTGACCAGGTAGTGAAATCACAACTGACAATTTCACATATTGCATTCATGTTTTTGCAACCTCTATGCAACGTTGCTGAGCAGGGATGTCAAAATAGGATTTTCCCAGTTATTATATTATAATTGCGCTTGTTTCTCCATTCCTTGGTTAAATAGATAGGAAGGAAAGACAGAAAAGACATATCTTTCCCAAATATACCAAGCTCACCTACTAGTTCAAGCAGTTCTTTGCGACGTACTTTATCGAACGCCTTTGCGTAATCTATAAAACATAGGTATACGTCCTTTTGCATTTATATTGCTCTTTCTGTTCCTTCTGAACATAAATATTACTTGTTTTTATGTCTTTAGTTAGATATGTGGATTTTTTCTATACTTTACGTTTCCCAGGATATACTAAAGACAAGAGAAGTAAACAGCAAGAAACCTACTCAACAAGTTTAGGGGAATGGACAGTATAACAGGGACAAAGAGGGATGGAGAATCCTGACCGTCTACATTCTATAAGGACCTGACGCCTAAAAGAAGAAAGATAACAATAAATTTAAGTACAATCGTAATATCAGCCGTTTCCTTATAAGGAAACATTCGACATACATTGATTGCGCAGCCAGTATTGATGTCGGTTGAAATTTATAAAAATCTTTCTCTTAAAACAATTTTTCAGGAAAATAGGTTTATCAAGTCCAGTAGCTGTTATTGCTCTTTCAACTATCGATGAGGGTTTCCTTTCCAACCTTTTGTTTGAAGTAGAGTGGAACGACAGCATCTTGACTATGTCTGTCGTATTTTGTCGTATCCTCCAACAAAAAATACCGGATGAAGAAACTTCACCTTTCAGGACCAGCGACTGTTGTAAAACTGATTCAGCATATAAAAAGCCCCCCCCCCGCCAAAAAAAAATGTACGGCCAAGATGACTAGTATAGTATCAGTCGCAGCAGATGATAGCTAGTAGGTTCACGGCTCCAGCCGTCAGCAGTGTCAATCAGCCATCATCGTCTACCGCAGCTCCAACTCGCCATTGGTCACCGCCTCAGTCAGCCAGCCATCCTCATCAGCAGCAACGATATGCGATAAACTGTCCTTTTCAGGACAATACTCTTCAATTAGTTCCACGTGCCGTGCCTCTTTTGTATGTCGCAGTGTCAGTTGTCCTTTAACTTAGCCCTCCAAGTTTTCGTTCACCTCTGCTGTAGCCAGGTATTGAACTGACAAGTCACTGGATTGATTCAAGCAACGATTTTATCCACTGGATCATGTGTCCTTGAGGACAGTCCGATTGAGGAAAGGACAAAAGATGAACAAGGATCAAAGCAACAGAAAATGGCGATTGACGTTGCATTTAAATTTTTGAAGATTGTAGTTATCAGGGAAGCAAGTAAGAGGAGGGTAGTTCCACTGTCGAGAAGTGTGAGAAAAAGAAACTGTTGGAGTAGAAGTGGCGGTTACATTTAACTATTTCAACAGTAAAAGGATGAGACCTAAATGCTAATCAAGTAGCACGCTTAAATTCATGTCGTTGAGGCACCAGGGAAAAAGTTCGTCAGAGCAGTTGCCATGAAAATATTTGTAGAAAAGATAGAAATGAACAGCAAGTCGGATATGGCAACAGTATACAATGCACGGATGAATGGTAGATGATGAGAAAAACCTTCTGGTACGACACAGTGAACCAACTTTCCTTGCAGTAGATGCAGCTATTGATTCAATGTAGTTGTTCCACCTCAAGGCGCAGTGAAGTAGAAGTTCAACTTATTGGAAAATATCTGCTCTTTATTCATTTCTTAGTTTCACTTCTCGTCACAATCTATCTTACACATTTACAAATCTACCATTCGTCCATGCATGGAATACTGCTGCCATATCTGGTCTGGTGCCCTTGATGTTCCTCCAAAAATCCAGAGAAGGATCTGCAATGTAATCGGTCCTGACTTTACATCCCTGATAACTACAAAAAGTTAAATGCAACGTTAATCGCTAACTTCTGTTGCCTTGATCCCCCTTCTTCTTTTACCCTTTCTTCAATTCCCCTTATACACAGTCTTTTCTTTAATTTTCACTCTCTGTACCCCACCTTTTTTGCGTGCTACGGAAAGGACACGGCGTGTAATTGAACAGTGAGGAATGGAAAAGAAGCGTTTTGAGTTTCACATGAATTCATTTCTCTGAGAGACTTTACCATTCGTCCTTACATTGAATACTGTTGCCATATATGGTCTGGTGCCCTTGCTGTTCATCTCGACAAAATCCAAAGAAAGATCTGCTATATAATCGGTCCTGACTTGGCATCTCGACTTCACTTACTTTCTCACAGACGTGATATGGCTTCCCTCTGTCTTTTCTACAAGTATTTTCAAGGCAACAGTTCTGATGAGCTATCTTCCCTGATGCGCGGACTACATGAATTTAAGCGTGCTACTAGATTGGCATTTAGGTCCCACCCTTTTACTGTTGATATAGTTAAATGTAACCGCCACTGAAGTTTCTTTTCTCGCACTTCCCGATACTAGAACTCTCTTCTTCTTACTTGATTCCCTGGTTCAAAAATTTAAATGCAATGTCAATCGCCATCTTCGGTTGTCTTGATCCCCGTTCTTTAACCCTTTCTTCAATTCCACAGTCTTTTCTTTCACTTTCACTCTCTGTAACCCGGCCTTGCCTGGGGTGAAATGCTTTAAAAATAAAGTACACGACTTTTCAGGGCACAGGCGATCATGACCCTCCACAGTTTCGTTTTTTCCTAAGTATCGGTGAATTGCTATGGGATATTGGACGGAGCAATAATTGAGTTTGTTTCCTGTTGTTTTCTAGTTGGTTGGTTAATTTTACACGATGTCAACAGGAGTTGGGTTATTTTAATGTTGAATTTTGTATGGAGCATCTATTGAATATCGTCGACCATATAACCCTTTTCCCGAAAGCAAAACCTTTCTCGCCTCTCGCTAATCTGTCGATCTTTTTAGGACAGATATTCGGGCGAACGACATTCCTTGATTCCAACAGTCCAGACTTTACAGCTAGGACCCGCTATCCCACTCATCCTCACTCCCTTCATCTTCCATTGGTAAGGAGGAAGTTCCACTCAGAGAACTTCTTCCTCCAAACCGTTGTATTGTGTAACATACACCACTGAGGACGCTCCCCTATCAACCGGTTCGCATTCCTCTTCAGTCTTTTGAACGGAAGTAGAGGTTTATCGCCTTTTTCCTGTTAAGGATTGGATTTCCGGTTCCTTCTGAAGTCTTCTGATTCACTTTCACACCCAGTAGCCTTCTCGCGTGTTAGTGGTATTATCGATTTACTTGGGGTGAATTGATTCAAAAGAAAACTTACAATATTAACATTTCCAAGTCTAGGGTCAACTGTTATCTATCCTTCATAGCCTCATAATATGAACCTTTTGCTTCCTCATTATACGCCCTGACAACAGACTCATTTAGTAATTCTCTATCTCGAGTGGCTCTTGTGCCTTCTATAGACTGAGCAATAGTAAAAAAAACAAAAACAAAAAAAGAACATAATAATGAGCCACCCGTTGACCATTACACACACGTCAAGACTCCGTCTTTCCTGGTGACCTGTTTTGCATACTAGTGGACAATTCAGCAAACAGTAAAAATTTTGAGAGACAATAGTCTGTCATCCTACTGAATAATAATAATAATAATAATAATAATAATAATAATAAAACAAATATGCAAATGTTGTGATCAAAATATATGACCAGCCTTAAATTATGAACGGGCAGATGTAATTATCTAAAATATTATGTAAAATCTATGTGTGTGTTTGTGTGTCTGTCTGTCTGTCTGTCTGTCTGTCTATCTATCTATCTATCTATCTCAGTCTGTTCATATCTATCTATCTATCTATCTGAGTCAGTTCCTTAGCTTTTTTCTTTCTATCTCAGTCTGTCCCTTATCTTTCTTTCTTGCTATCTATCTATCTATCTGTCTGTCTGTCAGTCAGTCTGTTCATATCTATCTATCTATCTATCTATCTATCTGTATGTCTGTCGGTTATTCTGCCTTTGTTTATATGTATGTATCTATCCCAATTTGTTCATATCTATCTATCTATCTATCTATCTATCTATTTTGGTCTGTTCTTATCTATGTATCTAATTGATCTCAGTGTGTTCACATCTATCTCAGTCTATTCATATCTATCTATCTATCTATCTATCTATCTATCTATCTATCTATCTATCTATCTATCTATTTTGATCTTATCTATCTATCTATCTATCTATCAGAGTTATATTTGAAATATTTTAAATAAATATTACCTCGGTCCATTTATTCTTTTTTTGAAAGAAAGAAAGAATAAAGTACGAATTGGTGGGAAATTTGTCTCTAAACTATTTTTACAACTTTCCAGCGCTTCAGTAAACATCAAGGAAAGTAAAGACAAACACCTATCAACGTAAATTCCCAATCTATCTTGTACGTCTGTACTGAATGTCTAATAGAAGCCACGTGATCTCTCAATATTTGTTCGTCTTCTTAGCGAGGGCAGTTTCAGGCACTACCATCCACATATCTAAGCCAAATTTATCTCACGATCAAACTATACCATACTGAGGCAATTATCCTTCCACGTACTTATTTCCTCTGACGTGCCAAAAGATATGGATTAGTAGTGTGTAAAAGTAATGGTTGGTATCACCACCCAATCTTGACATCATGGGAATGCACAGAGTATTAATTGTGCTCTAACATCTGCTGAATCAGTGTGAACACTGGCTAGCGTCTCATGGCAATGTGACGTGGGTTATTGGGGTTAGTGGGGATTACACCCATATGGCCTGCCAAGACGTCCGCTAAGTGACACTGCATAGGACTATAAAAGGATGGTCATAAGTTCTCTTTTCCTCTGTTTACACTAGAATATGGTAGGTACAGAACACGTCTCGTCGTCTCCGAGAAAATTTCTTTCTCCGGGTGGCGGACTACAAAACTCAACGCAACCACAAATGTGCACATTTTCTAACAACAAAGCAATTTTTCTCCCCTTTTTATTTGTGTGTACACAAGTATATTTTTCTTTATTTGTATTGTTACTCATTATATTAAAATATGAATATGAAATTTACATTAAGAAGCAATTTATAAAAAAAGCAGCAATTCATTATAAAAAGACATATATATATATATATATATATATATATATATATATATATATATATATATATAATTATTTATTCGAAAATTATAACATAAATATGTTAAAATTCACTACAAAAATAGCCATTTTGTTTCAACGCTTCTGGTGTCTTATCAAGTGATGGTGTTGAATTCAACACTATCGCTTGATAAGACACCAAGATTTTATAACAGTCCCCACCCAGGGCCATTTAAAAGATAGTTCACACAGCAGATTGGTTGTTACAAACATCCAATCGGATGTGCGGAATATGTGGTCTTTCTACCTCTTATTCTTTAAAAAGGCCAGAGTAGCTGTTAGCGTTTATTTCGAAGGGGGAATCAGGGGTTGATCTCCCCTGATTTGGTCGATTTGGTGATGGGGAGTATGATGTTGAAAGACCCGAAACTCCCTGATGAACCAAATCAAAACATCACTGACGACCCCCTTGGGCGCCTACTTAAAAGCGTATTTTCGAATTATGCTATAATTTACGAATAAATAATTATATTTGCTCTACTCTGTATTGAGCACTCTTTTAAGAATAGTATTTGTTGCTTATTGGAATTTTTTCCGTATACACCAATCCTATATATATATATATATATATATATATATATACATATACATACAGTCAACGACGAAATTATTCGTACATCCATCAATTTTGAATATTTTTATCTATTGGTCAGGATCTAATGCTCGTATGATGCTAGGTTTTTAAATATTAATAATCATAAAAAAAAATATAAAAATGAATTTTCAGAACAGGTTAAATACAACATATTTGACAGGCAAATTAGGAAAAGACAAAATTATTCTTTCCCTATGATAAATAGAAAAAAATTGAACAATTTTCCTAATATTAATAGCATGGCCTCTCATCTTAATAACTTGCTGCAATCATTTTTTAAATATTTTGATGAGATTTGAATAAGCCTTTTCTGGGATTTTCTTCCATTCTTCAATGGTTACACGTTCTAATTCCTAAAGTTTTTTTTTGGTGACCGACGATTTATTCGAACTTTTAATTCTTGCCATAAATTTTCAATAGTATTCAAGTCAGGACTCATTGAAGGCCATGTCAGAAATATAATCTTTTTTTTTTTAGAAGCTACGAAGTCACTGATTTAGACGTATGTTTGGGATCATTATCTTGCTGGAAAGTAAATCGTCGACATAGATGAAGATTTTGCGCTGATAGTTGTAGATTTTCATCCAGAATTTTGATATAGTCAGCAGATTTCATTATTCCTCTAATTGCAAGTAATTGTCCAATCCCTCTTGAGCTAAAACAGCCCCAAAACTTCATCGATCCGCCTCCATGTCTTAATGTTGTCACTGTGTTCTTTGCGAGGAAAGCCTCACCTTTCTTGGGCCAAATCTTCTGTACATCATTATGTCCAAAAAATCTCAATTTTTGTTTCATTCCTCCATAGTGCTTGTTCCCAAAAGCAATTTTATTTGTCCAAGAACGTTTTGGCAAAATTAAACCGATGTGACATGGTTTGCGAAGATGGGTTCGTCATGGTCAGTTTACACGTAACCTATTTCTGTTTAAACAACGTTGTATTGTGCGAGGACTTAAGCTGATATCTATCGTATCCAAACTTTTGGAGATGTCTTTCAAAACAACTATTGGGTTTATATTAACCTTGCGACACAGTTTTCATGCAGGCAGTTCTCTGTGACAATTTGGGTTTTCTTCTACGTCCAGGCAAATTCTCTATCGTGCCAAAGTGTTTAAATTTCTTTATAAGGGACTGTACCGTAGACTTGGGATAGTTAACTGGTTTCAAATAGTGCTGTAACTATTTCCCGAATTGTGGAAGTTAATATTTCTCTTTCTCAAGTCAACGCTAAGCTTCTTTGCCTTCCCCCATTTTACCGTAAAATGGTAATACCGAAATATAACAACGGTTAAAAAACGGCTCAATGACGTATGCTGAAACCAAATCAGAAGGATAATTTACCGACCCGTCATATTAGTTTCCGAATTTACCAATTTAGACGTCAGAGCGTTACTAATCATACAGGCAGTATGTTGCAATACTGTCTTTGTTCAAAATGGCCGAGTAATTAGGAAGGCCGTTGTTAGAGAGAGCATCAAAGAAACAGAACACTAGGTAGGGGAAACAAAGAATATCTATCTTAGTCTGTTAATATCTATCTATCTTAGTCTGTTCATATCTCTCTCTCTATCTCAGTCTGTTCATATCTATCTCAGTCTGTTCATATCTATCTATCTATCTATCTTAGTCTGTTCATATCTATCTATCTATCTTAGTCTGTTCATATCTATCTATCTATCTTAGTCTGTTCATATCTATCTATCTATCTATCTACCTATATATATATATATATATATAAAACGTCATCCACAGACAGACTGTTTCGCAGCTCATCAGTGTGGCTAGACATCCGGTTGCCTCTAGCCAGGATCGAAATCCCGACTGAATTGGTGTCAGTCGGAGATTCTAACCATTAAGCCGTCGGCGCACGGTAGGGATGAAAGTGAATTTTTTAGCGTATTTATTTTTACAAACACGCCCAGTGACCGACAGTGACTCAATTCGCATCTGCGAAGAGTCTCGCTATATAGCTATAATAGTCACTGTTTACCAACCCACACCTCGTCCCCAGAGAGCTCAACTGAAATTGATATTTCAGGAGCCAATATATATATATACCTGCTTTTATGAATGTAGACATCCATATATGTATTTAGTTATGTATGTATCAGTCTTTACCACTAAAACGAAAATACTAAATCTCTTCATTTTTAAATGTCTCGGCTTTGAGAAATGACAAAAAAAGAATTTCCGTGTAACGGAAAACAAACAAGTAATAATAACAAACAAAAGTTTTGTTACATTCTACAGTATTTTATACACACAAACACACAGACATATATATATATATATATATATATATATATATATATATATATATATATATATATATACTAAATTATATATTCCAAAATTGACAATCAATCAATTATATCTGATAATCAATCTTTACGATGAGAGCTGATAAAATTCAGGAAAGTCGTTACCTTAGCAAAAATAGCGAAACTGGTGTCGCAATTATACCCGTAGGAGGCAACTCCAGCGAGAACTTTACCATTTTTACTGTTACAAATAAGGGGACCTCCGGAATCACCCTGAAAAAAAAACAAAAAAACACAATTATACAGATTGCACATCAACAGATTGCATCATAGATAAAAGCAAAGCGGTAGTGTTTTACTTTGCATGCCAATAAAGAGAAAGTATAACCTTACACCAGGTCTCAGATTGTGATTTATAAACAGCCTAAAATCTTTGAAAGAAAATTCTTTAATCTTCCAATATTATGCCAAACCTCTCTTTGAAATAGGAATCATAATTCAACTAATAACACTATAACATGATTTTTTCCTATCTATCTATCTATCTATCTCAGTCTATTCATATTTATTATCTAGCTAGCTAGCTAGTTAGCTAGCTATCTAGATAGCAATTTGAGTCTGCTCATATCTATCTATCTATCTCATTCTGTTCATATCTATCATCTATCTAGCTAGCTAGTTATCTGAATCTGCTCATATCTATCTATCTATCTATCTATTTATACATGAGGTATCATGTACACTATTTACATTGTTCGGACTATCATCCTCATCTTTTTCGCCATATTTATCACAATGTTTCTTCAGGTGGTTGGAATGTCGAACTGAACCCATTATTTCGCACATTGGGGTAGACTGTTCTAGTTCCACATGCCATGTCTAATGGATGTCAGTTATCAGTTAACTCTTGTTAATTCCCCTCTGCAAGTTCTTCACCGCCTTAACCAGGTATTGAACTCACACTCTTTGGGTCCTGTCACTGGATCTAACCAACGCCTTTATCCAGTGTCAAGGACACATGGCATAGTGGATAAAAGCGTTAGTTAGATCTATCGATCTCAGTCTATTCATATCTATCTATCTCAGTCTATTTATATCTATCATCCATTTAGCTAACTAGTTGGCTAGATAGATACATGTCTGCTTATATCTATCTATCTATCTATCTATCTATCTATCTATCTATCTTACGCCTAGAAAATATGAAAAATGGCTAACATTCCCTTGAAACCTTTCTTTTGTGACCAGGATAGAGGTATTTCTGAAATTTACCTATTCCCATTGGGAAAAAAGCTGGTTGATGTGAACATTCTCGGTCACACAAAGTAGGAACAAGAAGACAAATTGATTCAAAAGTAGCATTTATGTATTCTAGGATCACATGAGGGAGACGACAAAAAATTTAGAAGTAAACGACGTCTTGTTTGCACTTAGACAGCGAGAAGTAAACTGAACTGTCGAGCTTAACTTCCCTGTACTTTACTGTCATCTATGTTGTCAGAACATTCTAGAAATTCTTGAAAGTTTAAGAAACTTCTAGAAAGTTTTAGAAAATTTTTCTTCGGCAATTTAGCGCTGAATTTGTCTGGAATCTTATGGAAAATGGGTTCATTTCGAAATGTCGATGTTCGGGACGCACAAGCAAAGGGTGAAGGGAATAATAGTCATTTCTTTTGCTTTCTAGACACAACCAGTTAAGAAATAACACTTACTGAGTAAAGGCAAAAAAGTGAAAATTTTGTTACACACTATCTATCTATCTATATATCTATCTATCTATTTCATTCTCTATATATCTTTCAAATAATGTTTTTAATATTGTAATCTTGCATCGAGTCGCTTTTTGAAATATGAATTATAATTCGCCTAAAAATCATTAAAAAAATTCTTAATTCTTGGAACCTTTTATCAGATCAATTTGAAATGTGAATTACAACTCACCTGAAAATCATTCAAAGATTATTTTTCTTAATATTACAATCGTGCATTGGGTTTCGATTTGAAAAAGGTTCGCCTATCGCCCGGTTCACACACTTCCCTGGTCTTTTGAACAGGAGTAGAGGCCTTTTCCTTGTTTCCTGTTTAGGACTGGGTTTCCGGTTACTTCTAAAGTTTCTCTTTAATGTCTAATAGCTGCTTGCGTCTTAGTGGAATTATCGTCTTGCTTTGGGCGAATTGATTAAAAAATGAGAATCGCAAATCGCAGAAAAATCATTCAAAGAAAATTCTTTCCTCTTGCAATTTTATACCAGGCATCTCTTTGAAATGTGAATCATAATTCGCTTAAAAATTATTAAAAAATGATTTAATATTGTAATGTCACATCGAGTTTCTCTTTGAATTGTGAATCACAATTCATTTATCAAATAAGCTATGTGATGTTAACCTCTCATGTCATTTAAAAGTTTACAATCAAGTACAACGGTATTTTAACTCCATAAATGGCAGGCAAGATAAAATCAAATTTGACCTCCGAGTTGACTGGCTGTCATTGCAGTTAGCATTTTTGTAGCCTTTATGTTTTGAATAATAAAAAAATTCAGGTGCAAACAAATCTTTGATGGCATTAAGCCCAGTTTCTAATTTCGGCTATCATAGAGTTAACCGAGAGAACTTCAAGGCTATGGCCGTGCGCTGATTGTGTTTGGGAGCAATTAACATGAGTATTACAACGGTGTCGTCGGGGATCTAGTCGCAGATTTGACACCGGGGGATTAAGTCGGAGAGTGAGTCATCCACAGTTAAATTTAACTGTCGATCTACGTTGGCCGTAAAGGTGGGGCAGCTTGGCGACAACTGAAAGACTGAGACTGGCTATTACTTTCATTGGTTGGGGATCACGTGGACTGCCAATCGGAAAACGAGAAGAACCAGACCTCTCCTCTTGCTTGCTCTTTAGCCGCAAGACAGCGTCCGAACAAGACGTCTCGTTTCCCTTCCACGAGACTTTTTTGTCCCCCAAGGGATTACTTATCGCATGAAAACAAGACAGTATACAAATGCCTTAAGCTGGTAATTAAAATGAATCAACAAGGAACTAACTCTTCTCTAATATAGATCACTCAATATCTTCATAGCGTCGGTACTAATAAGGACTTTATATACAAACTTTCGTTTACCTGAGTCTGTCTATATTTCTGAGATGAGGTATTATGTATATTATTTACATTACTCGGGCTATTGTCCTCATCTTTGTCCTCAAGGACATATGGCACAGTGGATAGAGGCGTTGGTTAGATCCAGTGACAAGACCCAAAGAGTGTGAGTTCAATACCTGGTTAAGGCAGTGGAGAACTTTCAGAGGGAAAATTAACAGGAGATAATTGATAGCTGACATCCATCAAACGTGGCACGTGGAACTAGAACAGTCTACCCCGGTGAGCGAAATAAAGGCTTCAATTCGACATTCCAACCACCTGAAGAAGGCCGGAGTGTACAACGGCCGAAACGTTGTGATAAATATTTCGTTTACCTCTTTTTATATACTTTCTATTTAGGTTTGCTAAGGCAATAAAATGTTATATGTGTGTTATGAACGCGCGTGTGGTTGCAGTCTCATAACTACCAAATGAAATGCCTTGAATGAGTTTTGATTCACGGTCCGTGAATGAATATATGTGTGTGTGTGTGGCACATGGAGAAACGGGTGATGCGATAAGAAAAGAGTAATTTGCTACTCACGATTTGCTTGAAATCACCATTTATTCACAGGAGAACATTACAACATATATTAGGGTATGTACAAATCACAGTCCCAAGTTACTGGGGTGTATGTCACAACCGTTGGGACAGGAGAATATAAACCGTCCTTATTGTCTCGTAGCCATGTTACATTCTGCTCCCTTTTTTCGCGCGTCCCGCCTCTCAAAGTCGCGTTGATCCCGTGACTCGCGTGGTTTGACAGGGGTAAAAGGGAGGTACTCTTTTTGAAATAGGAAAGAGTTATTTCCCTTGGAATGTATTTTTTATCCGTCCTAACAATGTGCAGTATTGTTTGTAATTTCATTCCGATATTTCTCGTCCGTCACATAAATATCCACAACTCCCACTAAATGTTTCCTACAATGATGTTCACCCTGTAGAAGGCCTAAGTATAACTCGAGGTAAATGGTTACAGACTGAGAGGCCCATTTTATAGGGATATATGGCGGGGGGTTAACAGTTGACCTTAGATTTGAAGAGATTAAGATTGTAGCGTTTGAGGAAGATTCCCTTTGGGAGTCGGTTCCACAAAGCAGCGGTTCGTGCGGAGAAGCTGTTCGGGTGAAACTTACATCTCACAAGGGTAATACGAAGGGAATGAGGGTAGCTCTCTATAATGGGTGTGGCATTGCGCGTCTCAGCCGTGAAGGTTAGAATTGGTGGAAGTAAGAAACGTAGTTGTAGGAACACTTTCCATGGAAATAACGATAGAACAGAGAA